GGGTTATTACTAGATCAAGGGAAATAGTATCCAATGCTTATTTTGTCTCTAATATTGAACCAAAAAATGTGAAAGAGGCTCTAACTGATGAATTTTAGATTAATGCCATGTAAGAAGAATTAGAGAAGTTCAAGAGGAATAAAGTTTGGGATTTGGTTCCTAGGATAAGTCTAATGAAAATGGAGTGGTTACTAGAAACAAGGTCGGACTTATGGCTCAAGGGTACACTCAAATTGAAGGTGTTGATTTTTATGATACCTTTGCTCCAGTTGCTTGCCTTGAATCCATAAGGTTATTACTAGGAATGGTATGTTTGTTAAGATTATAGTTGTTTCAGATGGATGTGAAAAGTGCCTTCTTGAATGAGCTCTTACAAGAAGAGGTGTATGTGGAACAGCTAAAAGGGTTTGTTGATCCCACATTTCCAAATCATGTATACAAACTGAAAAAGGCTCTTTATGGTCTAAAGCAAGCCCCTAGGGCTTGGTATGAATGGCTGACAGAATTCCTGGTCAGCAATGGATACATAAAATAAGGGATGGCCAAGACATTGTTTGTCAAAGAAATGGATGGCAAGCTCAAGATTGCTCAGATATATGTGGATGATATTGTCTTTGGTGGGGTGTCAGACCAGATGGTCCAACATTTTGTCAAACAGATGCAATATAGATTTGAAATAAGTCTTATGGGTGAATTAACCTACTTTCTTGGGTTGCAAGTCAAACAGATGGAAGATTCTATATTTATATCTCAAAGAAAGTATGCAAAGAATATAGTGAAGAAGTTTGGGATGGAGAATACAAGTCACAAGAGAACACTTGCTTCTACTCACTTGAAGCTCTCTAAAGATGGAAATGGTGTTAATATGGATCAAAGTCTCAACAAAAGCATGATAGGTAGCTTATTGTACCTTACAGCCAGCAGACCTCACATTACATTTGCAGTAGGTGTGTGTGCAAGATATCAAGATGAACCTAAGATGAGTTACATTAATCAAGTAAAGAGGATTCTGAAGTATGTCAATGGTACAAGTGACTATGGTATGTTGTATTCACATGGATCTAGTGCCATGCTTGTTGGATATTATGATGCTGATGATATAAAAAGCATCTCTGGTGGATGATTTTTCTTGGGAAACAACCTTATTTCTTAGTTCAGTAAGAAGCAAAATTGTGTGTCCCTATCCAATGCTGAGGTTGAGTATATTGCAGCAGGAAGCAGTTGTTCTCAGCTACTTTGGATGAAGCAGGTCCTGAAGGAGTACAACGTCAAGCCAGATGTCATGAGATTATACTGTGACAACTTGAGCGGTACCAACATCTCCAAGAATCTTGTCCAACATAGCAGGACAAAACATATTGACATTCTTCATCATTTTATCAGGGAGCTTGTTGAAGATAAAATAGTCATTCTGGAACATGTAGCCACTGAGAAGCAACTTGATGATATCTCTACTAAGGCTTTGGATGCAAATCAATTTGAGAAGCCTAGGGGTGAACTAGGGATTTTCATTTTTAAAGAAATATAGCAATTAGTATTGATTGTGGAATATACTAGGCATAAGAGAAAACAGGTGTCAAATTTATATCTAAAAAGGGGGAGTAGTATTGATGGTAGTATGAAGCATGAGAATTATGATGATTCTTATTATGATTCTTACTTTTCTATGTTTTATTTTGTGTTGCGGTGAGGTCTTTTCTGGTGGTGTTGGGATGTCATTCTATATGTTCTGACATCATTTCATCATGTGTTTGGGAGATGTGTGGTTGTGCCCTTAAGGGGGAGTTTTGTGACAGGGGGAGTGCTGCCCTTTGTGTGATGCCAGACAAAATGTCTTGACATTTGTTTTATTTGTTGAAAATTATTTGCTGAATTGTTGGTTATGCAATTCAGGGGGAGTGAAGTTTTTTTGTAGTTTTTTCTTGTTGTGTGAGAGTTTACTTCTCTTTGTGAGGCTGATTTTCTTTTTCCCCTGTGTGCGCCTCTGATTTTTGCTAATGAGATTTTGGTTATCTTGTGTTTATTTGTGGTTCTTCATGAAAATGTTGTTTTAGCCAGAATTTGCTAAAGGGGGAGATTGTAAGTTCTATTAGTTTGGCAACAATTTTGTTAAAATAAGTTCACAACAAGATGTTGAGACAAATGCATTGACGAACCAGTCAGGCAGCATGTTCAGCATGATGTTAGGACATGTGGTAGGACATGTTATACCAGAAGTTTAGGACTGGGACAATTTGGTATTTAAAGTGTGAGATTTGGTTGTATTTTAATTCACACAGTGTCACAATCCAATGAGGGATATTTTAGGAATTTTTGTCTTGACAGATTTGCATAAAAAGGATCTTGGAGACTTTTTAATAAACTTTAAATTTAGTTCTTATTCATGTGCAGAAGATCTTGCAGAAGATTTGAAGCTGTTATTTTGTGATACGTGTTTTATTTTATTGAAGGGCCCAAGCCCATGCTGATCTGAAGCCTATTTAAAGAAGAGTTCTAAACCTAATGCAAATATATAAGTCATGTATTGAAAGAAAATGTATTAGGGTTTAAAGAGTTTGTTTTTTTTGTTGTTTGTTCTTTGTGATCCTCTTTTATGTCGTTTTAAATTTGAGTTGGACTATTTTTTATTGTGCATTTGTGAGTCATTCAAGTACTCCCTAGGTACTTGAATTGGACTGTGTTTTTTAGTTGTAATCACTCTTAAGATTTTAAGCAAAAAGTATATTTTTTGTGTCTTTGGAAGTGTAACTTCTTTTCTTCTTTATTGTTGAGTTTTTGTCACTGTTGTGTGACTGGTAGAAAGTAAGAGGGGTCTCATTTCTAGGGGTTCCTAGGTAGAAGTTAGCATGTGTAGTGATTAGGTGAGAAGCTTGTAAACCTGTGGGTGTTTGCTGTGGCTTTGAACTAATACTATTATAGTGGATTTTCTTCTTGGCTTGGATGCCCCCAGATGTAGGTGATGTTGCACTGAATTAGGTTAACAATTGACTGTGTTATTGTTTACATTCAAGTTTTTATTTTTTTGCATTAGTGTTGTCTGTTGTCTTGATCCCAATATCCTGACATCTGGTATATGTGTGCCATAATTTCAATAAACATAAAAAACCTACCTTCATAACAATAACAATTTGATGAATCAAAATAAAAAAGAAGTTACCAATACCTAAAGCAACTCGAATTACTAGAGCAATGGAGAATGTCCAAACACCTCACATGAGCAAAACACATAGATGAATATGGACAAAGGTTAAAAGTGAAACAACAACAATAAAAAAGATAATGAATCAAAGGATAGTAAACATCACCTTAAACAGAAAAAACATTTAGAGCAAAGGAGAAATCTCAATCACATCATAAGCTAAGATTACTAACAAAAAGGAGAAGAATTATCAAGACATCATTAACCCAAATCAGACGCGTAAGACAAAAGGGAAGTACAATAAAAAAGAAGAAAGATTATAGGAGAATCTTAAGTGGATAAAAACTCCACATGTATCCTCAAGCAAAGGTTGAGCATTTTATTTGGGACATGCAAAACAAAAACCATGAAAACTTAATCATCCATCAAGAAATTCATACTAACACTATGCAAAAGGTTAATAATCAAACGAATATTATATGGGAAAGGGGTAGCCTTAGAATACACACAAATGCAAATATGTCGATTAAAGATAAGTGGATATGGGAGTTATCTTCAATGACGACCAGGGGAATGTTTTAGCGAATGATACTTGGAAGTAGAAATGTCACCCAAACCATATTACAACAGAGGGTCAAGCCATCTTCAATGCTTTGGGAGTATTCAAATAGATGAAAGCTAAAGAGTTTATGGTGTTTAGAGATTGTAAAAGTATTATTGATAGAGTGGAGATGAAGAATGATAAGGCCAAAGTTTATGTAAAACAAATGAGCTGTGACAAGAGAGAATATATATCACACATAAGAAAAGTTCACAATGATATCTCACAATCCTAAAAAGCCTCAGCAGATCCATCAATCACATAAAAAGAGAGAGGAATATGTTAGTTCATAAGAAGGCCCAAATGAAAATCCAAGGAAATAACCAAATTTGAATAAATGAATTTGTACAACCGAGCTTTGGGAAACATTTATTAAGAAATGATTATTCCTTATTAAAACAATCATAAAAAGGGGGAAACATAATAAACAAATGCTCAAGGTTATAGAAACAAAAAATCAAAAAATCACACAAAATAAAAAATAAACAAAGTAGAACGAATACCAAAAGTTATCGAGTTGGACATGAAAGATTATGGAAATTTTGAACGATAACATGATTGTTGAAGGAAAAAAAGTTACAAGCATGACTGAACGAAAACATTTTCGTTCATGGAAGTTATGAAAGAAGATAAATTTGTAGAAGACAAATGATTTTCTTTTTATGAAGGAAAACTTTTTTACATGGCTATCAAAATCTAAAATAAAAAATGATTAAAAAATGAAATGGTCAATCCCGTGCGAAAATGTGGATTGTGTGGTTTCATAAAACTAGTTATGGTTCGTTACTTCAAGTGATTTCGGAGAGTTTAATATGATTTTATTAGTTTTAGCCCATCAATGATTTTTTTAGTGAATAAACTAACTTTAGTCTTAATTTTTTATCCAACCGATTAAATCGACAATCCAATTTTTAAAATATTATTTTAAAATAATTTTTCGTTTACCTAATTAAAGTAGCTAATCCTCGATGGAGATTTATGGAATATATAAATTTTCCTAGTGTAAAATGTATGTCATATCATCACCAACAAAATACATTTAAAAAAAATATAAGATAAATTATATTTGTTACAAATAAAGAAAAAATATATACTAAAAATAATATTAAAAAAACATAAATATGTTATTACATATTACAGATAAACTATTATTTTTCATCCCATAAATTTCATAATTTATTTAATATTTAAACTCAAAGAGTCAATGCATCTCTTACAAAGCATAAGCATAACACATCATAACAATAGTAAACATGAGAGTTATATGAAGCGAAGGATTTCAATGATCTGTTCAATAAGTTCTCGAGTCAAAGGTTTTTGAGTGTTGCCATTAACTCCCGCTTCCAAAAACATTTGTGAATTATGATCACTAAAGAGTGATAACATGCCCACAATTCTACTCTGTATCCCCAGTGCACGCATATCCATCACAAACTAAATAAAATACAATAAAAACATTTTAGTGTAGATATAATGATACCTCATCTCGTATCTAGAAAATACGAAAGAAATTATTAATACCTGAGGTCCACTTATTATGGGCAAATCAAAATCAACAAATATGATATCAAAATTCACACCAGTTAACAAAAGCTGCATTGCTTCTTGAGCACTATTTGCAGGTTCTGTTCGAATGCCTATTGATTCAAGTATTTGCTGCTCAAAATCTCTATTTGCAGCCACACCATCTACTAGCAATGCAGTCATGGGGTAGAATGTTTCATATGAATCACGTTTTTTTATTCTCATTTTCGTCTCCTCAGGCTTTCTAAACCGTTTAAATCCCGTTGTTCCCGCAGCCATTTTTTGTTTGAACCTGAAAAAAATAATAAACAAATAAACAAAATAACTAGTATGTATAAAAGATAAAGGGGGTGGAAATATGAAAACTATTTTCAAATCTCTACATAAATTTAGTCTTAAAATTTTTAGTGATGATATTTTTATCACAAATGAAAATTTGCCTCTAACCTTATAAGCTATGAAAATTTGTATCTTCTACCAAGGACGAGAAATGTTTATATAGACAATGTATTGAAAAGTTACAATTAAAATTAATTTTAAATATAATACAATAGTATTAAAAAAAATATTTATGTAAATATTAGTCAAATATTAACTTAAAATGAAAAAGAGAAAAGTCACATAATTAATTTATATTTCGTTGTAACACATATTTTCTTTTCCTAAGAATTTAATTTGTAATTAATATTCTTAAATAAAGTTTGATAGTATCCTATTATTTTAAAAACTTAATTTATATACATTGAACAATAAAAAAAATCTTCAACATACATCTTGTAACATCCACCGTTTTTTATTTATTAAAATTACTTGATTTATTATGATTTTTGTATATTTATCTGATTTATTATGATTTTTGTATATTTATTTGATTATTGAATGATATTAATATAATAAATAAGGGTGGTGGAGTGTGTGACCTTGAGGTGAGAGTGTGGAGAGTAATTAGAGGCTAATAGAATTTGATTAAACTAGTATAATCATTTTAATAATTAAAATAATAATATTTTATTAAATTTATTTAATTTAATATAAAATAGGGAGTATTGGGTTAAAGTGTGAATTATGAAGAGTAGAAGGGAGGAAAGAGCAAGAGGATTAAGAGTTTGGACAAGAATTGAAATTATAAGAAGATTTACCCTAATGATATAAAATCGAATATAACTTAGTTTAGGGAGTTTTTATCATTTCATTAAAATCAGAATTTGGAGAATAGAGAGAAGGCTAGACAAGTGCAAAGGGAAGCTTATAATTTGGAGGAATTTAGAGATCAAAAATCAAAATTTTCACTGCCGCTAGGATAACCAGGTAAAAGGAAGAACTATCATAATAATGAGTATATGCGTGAGGGGTAGAATTGAGGAGTCTTTAACCTCCGATAGGGTTTTGAGATTTTGAACATAATTTTATTTTTTATAATTTATTGATGTATGTGATGATGATTGATGATGAAATTTGTATGCTACGATGTGTGATCAATTCTGTTTTGAGGAGTTAACATATTTTCACCATTTTTGTGTGTTTGTAGGTTTTGGGATTAACATGATTTTTTTAAAAATATTAATTAAAAGTGTTAATTCGATGAAATTAGATGTTATTGTTGAATATATAAATGTACATAATATTTTGGGGCCGATTTTGTATGTTTGAATTGTGAATTAAGAGTTCTGCATTGAACTCCATGAGGAAGAGGAAATTCTGCAGGTTCAGGGTGGTGACGGGTGTCATGCTGGTGACGGGTAATCCGTCACGCTGCCCAAGCTTGTCTTTCAAGTCGGTTGTCACATGAGCGGCATTCTAAAGAGTTTAGGAGATGATAGGTAACCGTGAGGGTAACCCGTCATGAGTTTGTAGTGAGTGCAAATACTTATTTTGATGATATTAAATTGCATAATTCAATTTTTTTTCTCAATTTTTGTGGATGTTTTGGGCTTTGTTATGCTTTATTAGGTATTGTATGAAGAATGTTGGGTATGAATTAATGCTTAAGCGTGATTTTGATCAAACTATGAATTATTTGATGAATGATGTATATGTGCACAATTGTCGATTGTGATGATAATATGTTGTTGTATGTGTAACACCCTGAATTTGATTAATTAATTTAATTGAATTGTTTAGAATTTTATTTGATTAATTGGTATTTTAATTATTTTTTTGTGTAGTTGTAGGGGTAAGTATCGTTGAGGTAGAGGTATAGAGAGAGTAAGAACTTGACATAGTTGTTTAAAATTAATTAGAATTTTAATAAATAATTAGAATAAATAGTATTTTTGATCGTACCTGATCAGAAGAGATTGTTGACCGCCACGCGTCACTGATTTGGAAGCTGCTCAACGGAAGTAGGGAGGAGGAGGGGGTGTACCTGCAAGACACTTCGATGCTTAAGTGAGTAAAGGACCAGAGTGGGAGCAAATATAGAAGTTAGGTGCGGAGAATGAATATTTGACCCTCTAGTGAAAGAAAGTATTTATAGTGAGACCCCAGCGCAGGGCCAACGATCACTTGTGTTGGCCTGGATTGCCAGGCCCAAACCAAGTGACTGTTGGGGCTTACGTGGCGTAGTGAAGACCAGCACGTGGTCTTCTCCCTAGTCCAACCGTCTCGTGATCTCCGGAAGGTGGGCTGACCAGCTCTTTCGGATGTGGATAGTTTTCTGATGACGTTTTCCCGCGGGAGGAGCACATGGAGAACGTGTGGAAGACGTGTTGTTCTACCTGACGGGGGGAGAAGTTTGCTCGGTGTGTCTAGAACTATGCCCGACACTAAGGGATTTGGGCCTTCCCCAAAGAGCGTTGAGTTGGGTCTGCCCGACGGATGGGCAGGTCTGGGCCTACTCTGGAACAAGAGCCCCCCAAGTCATAGCTCCAGTGTAAAGGAGAAATGACATGACGATAACTGCATCAGGGACGAAGAAGGCGCGAGGAAGAAACTTGCAGGACTGCCGTGTCGAGGACGCTGGGGCGCGAGGATCTTGAACTTGTCGAGCTATCAGGTCGAGGTGGAAGATTGTCGGACGCTCTCCTGCTTGTGCTCGAAGGGGAGAATGAAGGGACGCGACCGTTAGTGGTGGCCACGTGTCTTATAATCATTGTGCCACTTAGGGCAGCTACTCTAGGGTACTCGAGTGCCTAGGGGTGCTTCGAGTCCTGTGCTGTGTTTATAAATAAGTAGGTGCCTACCCTTTTACCACTTTTCACACTCACTCGCTATCGCACGTGATATATGGATCTCCCGCACACGCAGTCACACAGTACCGCCACTGTATCGTCTACCGCACATCTCGTCGTCTCTACTGTCCCAATAAGTTTTCTACTTCTTCTCTTCCGTCTTCCTTAATTTTGATGTCCTTTTTCATGGACATGATGAATGTCCCAAAGAGAGCGTGGGTTCTCCGGCGAATACGGCGGGATCCCCTTGTCTTGGGATGAAAGCCCTGAGGTCACTTAAGGCTTTAGGATGAATGTCCCGAGGACAGACGACATGGTAAGGATGGACTCCCTGGGGACGTAGGATATTGTAAGATGAACACCCCGGGGACGTAAGATAAGGTTAGATGAATGCCCCGAGGACGTAGGATAGGATTAGATGAACGCCCTGGGGAAGGACGCTTAGGTAGAGATGGACGTCGCGATGACATGGGCCGCCGCCGAGCGGTAGTCGTCATCCTCATCGCCCTTTCACTTGATTTATGGTGGAAGGGTGAATTTGATCTTGAAACATAGAATTCACCATTTGCTTCTGCTTTTCAGGTGAACATGACCTCGTGGGCAACGAGAATTGTAACGCCCCGATTCCGATTTCCTTTATTTTGAGTCCTTTTAATTTAATTGATTGAATTATTATTTTAAATATAGGATTTATGTGTTTAATATGTTATGTGTGCATATTATGCTTTTTTTTTTTACCGATTTTGAGTGTTTCGGGTAAAAATAGGTTGGAGGGTATTTTGGGCATTAGTGATTATGCTAAGTGGATATTTTTATGAGAATTGATTAATTAGTGTGTGGAAAGAATTTGAGAGGAAAGAAATAGAAATATGAGATGAGAGAGGAAAAGAAAAAAATATAGTAACATAGAAAGAAAAACAAGAGAAAGAAAGAGGAGAAGAGAAAGTGGAGAGAAAAGAAGAGGAAAACCTAGAACTTCAAGAAATCATCACCAAAGCTTTCGATTGATCGGGTAAGGGTGTGAAACTTTATTATTCTATCAATGTGTATAATCATGTATGATTTTGTTGGATTGTTTTGGATCTTTGGTAGTTTTCTACACTTTCCATTTTAGGTTGAATTTGGTTTAATCGAAAGGAATCGTTGTTTAACGATTAGAATCATGATTAGATGATGTAGGTTAGACGATATATGTTAGACTAAGGCTACTGGAACAACTTTGGATTTAATCGGATGATTTTGGTGAGTTTGGAGGTGCTGGAGCAGAACTGAATGTTGCTGTTCGCAGGCGACTCGCTAGCAGCTCGCTAGGCGAGCACGCAGCAAATGCTCGCTAGCAGCTCGCTAGGCGAGCGTGCAGCGAACGGTCCCAGACTTGGGACAGTGAGATCCTGATGTCCCTCGCTGGCAGCGAAGGGAGTAGCGAGGAGCTCGCTGGAGGTTCGCTGTGGCGAACGGGGTAGCGAACGAGGTCTGTAGCCTCTGTTCTTGCTCGCTAGCAGTTCGCTAGGCGAGGAGGTAGCGAACGCTCGCTAGGCGAGCGTGTAGCGAACGTAGCAGGATGACTTTTCTCTGTTGCGTGGTGCTGTCGTGGCTTGGGGTTTCGGTTGCGATCGACCCTTCTTTGATTTAATACCTTATATGTTGGTTTGTGATGTGTTGTGGGTAGCCGTATGGCGTGAATCCTAGATTATGAATTGTGACCGTTTGGGAAATTATGTGTATTGTTTAGCTTGATTAAAAATTTATGATGTTTGTATGAATATATGCGACGAATGTGTAGAATGCATGAGTATGTTAGTAAACATGTGTGCATTTCAAGAGTGTCATGAGTCATGTTGCATGTGAAGCATCATGGTATGCATTCTTGTGTCGATTGATTCCTCGGTGAATCTGCAGAACCTCGTGTGCCCTTGTGGGGTGTGAGCGATGGTTAATTATTGATCCCTCGATGGATTTGCAGAACCTCGTATGTTGCGATGGTTATTTTGATTCCGCGTAGAATCTGCAGAACCTCGTGTGCCCATGTGGGGTGTGAGCGATGGTTATTTGGTTCTTCAATTGAACCTGCTTAAATGAGTCGGTACCGCATTTGCATCTGCATAGAGT